AACAGGACTCGATTAATTGTTCCAGGCACAATCATTTATGAGTGTGAAGCTGCTGCTTCAGCACATGAGTTAACTGCTATATTACAAGCACCTGGAGAGCTTACTGAGTAACCTGAATTTTTATGCGTGTAAGAATGTAATTTGAAAAATTGAAAACTTCAGATAGTCTCAAAGTACTGTTTTATCCCTTGGTTTTAATTATCCTCTTATCCCCAAAACCATTTACTTGAGTTGCTGAACAATAACAACCAAAAAAAAAAAAATGTAGCAAATTGATTCGCTTAAATATTTTATCTTGCCTTTTATTTTCCAAGAAAAGGACACAATAAATCACAAATAATGGGCAGCATCCTGTATTTGTGTTGTTTGCCAGCTTCTGGATACTTAGGTGTGGTCTCTGGTTAATCATGTGTTCTTTTGTGTAAGAATTAGTCCTGGCCAAAGGGCTTTTGTTTATTGGAGATACTTTGAATAGTTGTTCTATTGCTGCATTTTCATATTTTTTGTGGCCTGAGTAATTCTTCCAATATTGCCTCAATCTTCTCATTGATTTTCATGTAAAATATTAAGTGCTCTTTCTTCCCTTTGACACAATAGCAAACACAAGACACACTATTTGGGGTCTTTGGTCTGGGGAAGAGGTATAATTCTTGATGCTCATGTGGTTTCCAGAGAGCTGGTTAGAAATGCAGAATCTCAGGCCCCACCCAGACCTATTGAATCAGAACCTGCACTTTTGATAAGGTCCCTGGGTGAGTTATGTGCACATTAAAGATTGAGAAACACAGCCCAATCAAGAGTTTTCAGTGTTAACAGTAGCTTTAATAATATAGCTTTAATAATAGGTTTAATGATTATTGAATAACTGCTCTGATATCCTAGTCACTCTCCTTCCCTGGGTCTCTGTGTCCTCACCTGTAAAGCAGAATTAAACTAAATGATCTCTTAGAGTCCCATAAATGCTAAAATATCTCTGAGCTCCCTTTTATTTCTAAGATTTTTGCTTCTTCATAGCCAGTGCAAAAAACATGGGTAAGTCAAACACAACCGCTCCCCTCAAAGATCTTGCAACATGGGAGATGAAACTGACCTGAAGAAACAAACAGAAAAATAATATGGCACTGGGTTTGATTGAGAGTTATATTGCATCAGCATGAACTTGCACTCCCAGGAAAAGTCATTTTGGATGAAACAAAGCCTTTGAAAGATGAGAGTGATCTCTGTAGATGAAAAGGGAGCCTGCATTACCTAAGACTTGCAGAACAACATTAGCCAAATGCAGAGAGAAGTAGGGGAAAGCCTCTGAACAGGCAGGGGAAGGCCAAATTATGGGAGACACTGACTGCCAGAATGGGGAGTTTACATTTGATGTAGGGATTGAGATTGAGAAATAATGATCAAAAAGGGATTGAAGGAAGAAATCTGCCTGTTGATATCTCGTAGAGAGCTCAAGGTTAAAATAGCCGGTAGGAGGCAGTTGACATAATCCAAATTGACATCCTAGTAAGGAGAATTTATTCTTAAAATGACAGCTGATGGAATAGAGGGAAAGGGCTGGTTAAAGCACTTTGAGAAATGGATCATTGGGACTTGGAAACTGATTGGTTGTAGGTAAAGGAAAAGGAGAAATAAGCAGAGAGAGGCATTTGTGTCATTTGGTCAAAAAAAAGGCTCTGGAGTCAGACAGACCCGCGGCATGAAGCCTGCCATCTCCCCTCCGCAGTGAGAACTTGATTACATGATGGATCCTTCCTGTCTCCATCTGTAAAATGTGGATGATGCCGACCCCCTTGTTGCTGGGAGGACCACATGAGAAGGTGCATGCAAAGACACAACACCTGTGTGCATGGGGCACGGTACACAAGTTTGCAAGTTCTTGTTTTTTTGGTTCTTGTTTGTTGTTTTGAGTTTTTTCTCAGTAGAGTTAAGAAATTGTGAACAGAGAGAAATATAGGAAGAGAGCCCACAAGTAGTGTGACCTTCCCTGGGCTAGACACCAAGTGCCTCCTTTCTTCATCTGTAAGATTGGAGCTGAGGACTAGGGGATCGGTAAGGTCATTCATCCATCACTCCCTTGTTCACTTATTAGCTGAGTAACATGCATTCTGTGATAATGAACAGGGCTTTTCTTAGGTTAGGCTAGTTCAAAAGGAATTTCAACATATTCAATAGATCAATTGCTCATTTTCCAGTGAGCTGCTCACGTGATCAATAAATAGATCCCTTTCTTTCCTTACTGCTACATTAAGTTCCAAAGTGAATTATTTACCAAGGGAAGTTTATTCCTGAAAATGCATTTGGATTGGTGTCACCAATTAGTATGAATAAATTGCACTTCATAACATGCCACTTGGCTAGCTAGTTAAGCTTGCTGAAAGTATTACACAGTATCTGTAGTCATTTAGTATAAATTGGAATCTCCCTTAAAGCTATGTAAGTTAAAAATGTGTGCATATCTGTTCCTATGTACTAACTACAGCACTGAATCTCACATTATTTACCTGGCTAAACAAAATGTACAGGTAGGGATGCAAAGTGGGCATCTTGAGATTCCAAAAGCCATAGTCACAACTACTTTTCTTGTTTTTCAAAACATTATACTGTTCTCATGTATACATGCTGTAATCATTGAAAATACATCTATACAGTATTTAAGAAATATTAGGAACTACTCTGCAGTCTTGCAAGAGACAAATAATTTTAGGAGAATATTTATGCTTTAGGTATTTTTCTATATTTAAGAAAAATGCAATTTATACCTCACCTTAGAAGAAAATATGTCCTTATATTGATTTTTTTTGGAGAAATAAGAGGGTGATATGTTAAAGTTGATGAATAAGAGAACAGTAAATTTAAAAGCAATTTCTTAATGTTTTTCACAATAAGCATTCTTGACTTGTATAGTTTGGAAGTCTTGTGAGTCCCAGTTGTAATTTATTTCACTAAATATCTCTGTGGAATTAATCAACATGATATAAACTCAATTCAGCAAAGCCATCAAATTTTATTCAAGTAGCATAGATTCATTATACAGGTATGGAAAACATTTTATTCTTACATCTTTTTAAAAAACCACTCTACTGATTCTGTAATTGACACACAAAAGGCTGTACATAATTAATATATACAACTTGATGAATTTAGAGATAGGTATACACTTGTGAAACCATCACTACAATCAAAGACATAAGCGTATCCTCACCTCTAAAAGTTTCCTTCTGCCCACCTACCCTCCCCCCTTTTTTTCTTTGGCCAGTTCAGGGATCAAACCCTGGACCTTGGTGTTATCAGCACCATGCTCTAAACAACTGAGCTAACCGGCCAGTTCTGTTTTATTTATGTATTCATGTAAGGTTTTCTTTCTTTATTCTTTGATTTTATAGCATTTGTTATCTAGATATTTTTCTTAATTTCTAGAAGTCCTGTTTGACTCTTTTTCAAATATATGTAGGCTTCTTGTTCCTTACTCATATATTCAACTATCTCACTGATGTTTTTAACATGCTAAACACAGCTATTTTATATTCCGTGTCTGCTCATTTCAATATCTTTAAGGATCTATTCCGCTGCCTGTTGTTTCTGTTGGTTCTCATTCATGCTGCTTTATTTCTTTGTGTAATTTGTGATTTTATATATTTTTTACAATGAAATGCTTATTTCCCCATGAGAATTATTTTAGACCTGGATTGATGACACATTCCTCCACAGAGAATTTGCATTTGCTTCTGCCAATTACCTGGAGCCATTACCCAGCCAGAACCACTCTATATTAAAAACTCTGCTTGGCATTTCTCAAACCACACTGATAGTGTGAATGTGGACCAAAACCAGTGTGAGAGCCCATTCATGTTTAAAAATAATGAAAGGAAATTTTGGTCCCCTCCACTCAGGGTCAAGGTTGAGGTAGGCAAGTTTCCTTCTTTACTCTCTCCTTCTGCATATTGAACTTATTATTCATCCTTACACTTGAGGGCAGAACACTTTGAAGTATCCCAGCTTTATGTGGGGTCCCCTATTAAATTCCCTCATACTGCATAAAGCCTTTAAATCAGATGCTCAGTATCATCCAGGGTTTAGGAGAGACCCTCAGTGCTGATGCTTGTTTTGGTGCCCCCTAACCTCCTGTGATTCCAAGCTTCTGCTTTGCTTAGGAGTCTGAATATCCCCTTTTCATGCTAGCTCAGCAATGTATTTCAAAAGGCTTTCTCTGTTTGCCCAGTATTTCTGTTGTTTCCAGCTAGAAATTGAAGTCTTTATGTAATTAACAATTGAGTCAAAAGTGAGTATCCATGTGTATGTAGTTATATAGATGTTTATTATTGCATATAATTACAGCATTTCATTTGTATATGTATATCGTAACTTTATTTCCTGTTGCACCTGGTAAAGACTTGATATTTGCTATACACTTTAATTTCTCAGCTACTCTTCAAGAATAATTGGCATGCCTTTGTCATTTGTGTTCTTTAAAAGATAAAGAAAGCATTTGGCATGTAGTTAGTACAGATTTAAAATAAATATAATCCACTGTTACCTTATTTTAAAGTCCTTATTCCGTTATGTAGAATTGTTGAATCTTTCAAGCCCTCTCAAAGTGATTGGATCACAGAAACAGTTTTATCTGCATCCAGTTGATATAAAGCGATACTGAAAGTGTTAGAAGTATTTGAACTGCACAAGTGTAAAGGGTGGTAAAATACAAACATGATTTCTTTTGAGCAAAGAACTCATTCCAGAAAAAGGTGGGCTTGTGCTGCATTTTAGAAAATTAAGTAACTTTAAAGTGAATTATCACAATTTCAAGAAAATCTTTAAAAATGGTGATCTCTTTGTTTAATGGAGGCTCTTTTGGTAAAGCAAATGATTGTCCCTTGTAAAAGATCAGATTTCATATGGGACGTTTTCATCATTTAACTGCACATATAATTGCAATCAATAATAACAACCAGCATCAGCCAGCCCTGCCCCTTCTCCCTAATTGATGGCCTTTCTTCTTCTAGTACGTTCGAGTATCTTTTGATACAAAACCTGATCTCCTCCTACACCTGATGACCAAGGAATGGCAGTTGGAGCTTCCCAAGCTTCTCATCTCTGTGCATGGGGGCCTGCAGAACTTTGAACTCCAGCCAAAACTCAAGCAAGTCTTTGGGAAAGGGCTCATCAAAGCGGCAATGACGACCGGAGCGTGGATATTCACTGGAGGGGTCAACACAGGTAATTGGAAATGGGACACAGGAAGGTCACATAGGCCATCAGAATGCTGTGCCTGAGAAAATTTTCTCCTAAGGTTTAATATATGTATATATTCATCATCTCCTACCTGTGCATGTCCGCACTCCCTGGTTATCTCTCCTCTCACTGATTCTCTCTCCCTCCTTTACCTAAATGATAACTGAACAGTTATTTGTGAACCAAGAAATACTTACACATAAGAAATGAGTTGGAATATTTAATAGTTGACTATACAGAGTTTGTAAACACAACTAACAGAATTTCACAAGATACTTTCATTAGCTCAAGTTGCCATATAGATATATTTTTTATATAATATTTTTTAATTAATAAAAGACCTTTGTTTTAAATGGGAAGCCCTGTCTCTGTTATAGAAGGGATTTCAAATTTGGTGCCTAATAGCTTTAATTTTTGTAAAATGTTGTTTCTATCTGGGACGTACATTGTAATGGCAAAGTCTAGGGCATTATGTGTTTATTATTTAATATATTTCATTAAATCATCTCTGCATCAATAGAAGACACACGTCACTCTAAGTTTCTAAGAATTTTTCCTACCTGCCAAATGAGCTTCTATATTGTGAATTCAACTCTTACAAACCCACTTACAGCAAAATGCTTGTCTGCAGAACATTATTAATGTACAACAGATAATGGAATGGATGCTTGGAAAGTTGTTCTGCCATATTTCCCCAGCCTGAGTCAGAAGTGTCAATTGGAAGTGCACAAGCAATGTCACAGTCAGTTAATGCAAACTCATTACAGGGCTCTGAGTCTGTACATATGGAGTTAGTGGGACGTTCTGAACTTAACTCTGGCCACCTGGTTTTAAATAACATGTTATCTCAGTGTTTTGTTGTTGTTGTTTGCAATTTCGATGATGTCTGAGTGAGACCTGCACTGAGAATTCTCCTAAATACCTAGAATTTGTGAGCATTCAGCACACAACTGCATAGGCACATTTCAGCAGTGAAGTCTGCAGACTGCCCGTGCTCACCGTTGTTACGTGAAATCCTGACTCAGTCTGTAAACTGACCTGATCTCAGAATGACCTGCTCGGTCAGCTCTTTACTGTTTATCCTGTAGTAACCAAATAACTACACAGCAATTTTCTTTCAATGATTGTTCAGGTTTTGGGCTCCTAGTTTTACTTTGTGCTGCATAGTCATCACTTGCCTGTGACTATTGTCTTTTGCTTCCCTGTCACATAGATAACAACTCAAAGGGTTCTACAAGTTCTCACCAATCTTCCATTTCTAGGAACTTGGGACATCATTTTCCTTCTCTTACGAGATGCATTCAGTATCTTCATACAACCTAAATACCATAAGCCAGAGAGTTCCTTTTTGCCTCACTCTAGGCTCAGTGTTCAATCCAGTACCCAAAGTGAGGTTCGAATGATATGGTGCTGAAGTTAAGTAAAAGGTCATGATAGAATTGTGGCAGACAGGGAGGCAGGCCATGAAGTTCAACTTCTTGTCCAGGGCTGACCCTGAGAGGAGTTTTGCATTATCACCAGGAAATGATTTAACATCAATATTTACAACTTTACTCTCAGGTTTCTTTTGCTTTGTTTTGTTGCATTCTGTTTTGTTTTTACAGTACTCTCACTTAGAAGACCCATAAGTAAGCTAATAAGTGAAAATAATACTCTTCCCAACACTCCCAGCGTAGATCTTCATGGATTGCTGGCCATTTATGCTATTTTGTTAAGATTTTTAAAAGAAGGCTGTTTCTGTTTGATCGGATGAATATTTCAGAATTGAGTTATTTAAACCTGAGGTCCTTTCCCATGGCTAAATTGCCTGGTGTGTTTTGTGTCTGTGAGTTCAGTGCACAGTTTCTGAGCCCATACTCTGGGCCAGCCCCTGAGACACCCACCCCCCAACCTTCCCCCTGAGGAGTTTCACTATTAGAGGAGACATCCTCGTACGGGATTATGATTTACTGCAGAATATGGCAGGTGACATACTGAGCTATCCAAGATGTGTGAACAGTAATATCTTTCAGTGGAGCAGAAATCAAATCCAACCAGTATTAACACAGGAGGTGGCATTAGGTATGAATTTTTCCTTGAGAAATGGGTGGAATTTTGATAAGTGGAAACATCTTTTCTTAGAAACTATATCTTATACGTCTTCTGTAAGAATGATCATTTGATAGGAAGTTAAAAGGTTAGAAATTGTGTCTTCTTTAAATGATTTTTGAGCAGGTAAGAGGTTCTCAACCATCTGGTTAACTGAATTTTCTCACTTTTAACTATGATGGGCAGGCCATTATAACAGAAGAAGAAAACAATTAAAATGATGATGATTAAAAGGTATAACTATATATTTTTAACATAAATTTTCCACAGGGTAAGCCAATATTTTCTTCACAAGTAGACTGTCTACAGTATGTGTCCATAAATAGAAGATAAAATTAAGGTTAATAAAATCTGAGCTAAGTAATTGCTGTATTTGAATGACTCTAACTCATATATAAAGTGGTGTAGATTTCATGTAATATTATATGTAGTGATTTTTACAGAATACAGTCAAGGTGTTGGTTCTTAGTTATACTAACAAATCATTATGCTTATAAGAAAAATATTCTGTAAATTTAAGGAATTATATTTATTCTTTTTATAGACGTTGGATGCTTTTTATTTTTTTCATGTAAATTATAATAAGAAATGCGTTGCTAGAGTCTATATACAAGTCTGGCAAATGTACCTGGCATTACAGCCACAAATTTATGTTCCCTCCTAAATACATGTAGTTTATATAGAATTGTGTCAAAATTTTATTCAATGCATTGAACCTTGGGAGAAACAGTTATCACAATTTCCTTTAGAATGATGGAAAGGTAATTGCTTTAAAAGACAAGAGTGAAACTTTCCTCTTCCTCTTAGGTGTTATTCGTCATGTTGGAGACGCCTTGAAAGACCACGCATCCAAGTCTCGAGGGAAGATATGTACCATAGGCATCGCCCCCTGGGGAATTGTGGAAAACCAGGAGGACCTGATTGGAAGAGATGTAAGTCCTGGGGACTGTCCTTTTACATGACGTCTTTTAGAGGGGACATCAGAAGAGTAAAATAAAATTAGTATTCAAAAGGTGCATATTATAGTGCTCATTTAGTCCCCATCTCCCAAAATGAAACTTTTGTTAGGAATGGCTTATTGGGTGATTACCTATTTTCCCTTTCTATCCAAACTCCGTGTCAATTCTTACAATCAAGAAAGGTCCAAAGTAAAACATCAACTACTCCCTCTCTGCTTGATTCAAGCAGTGGTCTTTTCTTCCCATCAAATCCTGCAAGTGCTCTTGTTAAGGTTGTACTATGATTAATTAATGCCATATTACATATGGCAACATGAACTCATCGATGGATGCATTAAACACAGACTCTCCTCACCAGGGCTCTAGATTCTTTATAATTTCAGTGCCTTTTACCTAGCTCTGGAGAGCTGCAGAGAGAGATTCTTTCCGTTCAAGCTGTGGCTTCCCTGTTCGGCCTTCTTTTTTTCTTTTCTTCTCTAATTGCTTGAATGAGAAGTAGGCATAGCTGAGTTCTTTGTTTCCCACTCTGAAGCTATTCTAAAGCCTTTGGCCGGACTCAGCCAAGCACCTGCCTCTACTTCCTATTCTGATGTCCAGGGACACACACTGACCAATCAATCAACAATTTTGCCAGAAACTGAGAAAACTTGGTCTGTTTTTTTCTGTCACTATCTTATTTCTGTTTCTTCCAGGAGTCTCTTTAAGCCAAAAACAGGTCTTCTACTTACCACCTGACTGTTTCCCCTATATAACACTTTACAAAATTCTATTGATAAAGATTATAGTTTTATTATGTAAACAAATTGCCATACTTTGTTTCTTTTTTCCCCAATAATTTTAGTAATTAGTTATTTATCATTGTTCTCTACATCAGATCAATATGGTCTTTCCTTTCCAATCAAGGCCTGCCATAGAGTATAATAAATGTGATAAGTAGTTTTTCTGAAGTACCATGAGGTCTATCTGGGCTGAAAAAAACCAAAAAAGAAAAAAATTAGAGAGGCTGAGAATTAACTGGTCTTAAACTTCTTCTATCATAATGCAATATAATGCAACTACTTCATTTCAGTCCAACACAATACATGCAATATTTAGAAAGGCAATGCAAAATACTTTGAACTAAAAAAAAAAAAAATCAAATGTTATGAAACATCAGTAGTAAACAAACCCTTTAAATCCTTCAGAACCTTTATTTTAAGTGACACAAGTATCTACATCAACACTACCAAATTATAGGTAGAAATGCACATTTGTTCAGAATACATAGGAAAAGGAATGAGATACCCACTTTATCAATGTAGTATTCTCTTAACTAATATTTACAGCCTGTTTCATATTACACACAACTCGAATGTCTCCAACAGTAATTCCCAACGTGTTATGTAGGCAGAACTGACTGGAAAAGTAAGTGTTACTAGTTTTTTCCAAGTATCTCAAACTAGTCTTTCGGAATATACTTGGGGTAATGCTTGCCTTAGATTCCAAGTTGGCTTTTAAGTATATGTTGATTTTGAACTAGAACAAATATATTTCTAAAAAATAAGAATATGCTAAAATGCCCTCAACATTGAAAGTCTTCTATAGTGCATTTTATTAACACACTGTTTTTCAAGTTATAAATTATTTGGAGTGAAATTGCTGTTTTTGGTGTACAGAATTTATGACATAGTTTGAGGTAAATTTTTATATGTACTCACTGTTCTGACGTGATAGTTAAAAAGTGATATGATATTAGGTTGCCATAAAAAGAGGTGTTCAAATAAAATGTTGTTGGTCACTGGTGAAAATCCCCATGAAAATCGTCAAATTGGAAGTGTTGTCTGGTAATCTTCTTACATAGTTATAACAATTTTCATAGCTAGCTTAATGTAGTGCCTTCTACCCTTTTTCTTCCATTTTATATAATCAAACTCACATGTAATAAACATCAAAAAATAAATAAATAAACCTTTTAGCATCAGACATGAGGTAGCAGGAAAAAAAAATGAATGTATTGTTAAAAATCTTTACCACTTCAGAATTCTATCAAAACATAGTCCTTTGAAAAAATAGAATAGTTGAATTCTTGGTCAAGTGTATGTCTATATTACAGAATAATGTTGAAGAGGCACAAGATAAATGTCAAGGGAAATCTAGGAAACTTATTTGAAATAAATATAAATATGAGGATAAAAGAAAGTTTCCATTTCTTATGCCTGATATTTTATTACAGTGGATTTATTTCCAAGCTGATAGAAAATACACATTATTTTATTCCTGAGGGGCTGGTTCACAGGTGAGCACTTTCAGAAGCTGAATATTCAAGTACTACTGGAATTATTTTATTTATTGATGGAAGTAGTAGATGCAGCAACTGCTATTCATCTTAATCCCTTTAAGAGTATAATACTATAGAGATGAACACTAGTTCTAAACATAAAGAAGAAAATTTGCTTGCCGTTGGGTCTGTTTCTAGATATTCTGAAGCATTAGCCTCCCCTCAAATCTATGCAGTCAAGTGAAGCTACGCACTCTAACTTGAACTATAACTACTTGAGGGCAGGGCATGCATCTTTGGGTTCTCAGAACCTAACTTAGAGCCTCACATTTAGTAGTTGCTCAATTAATATTGATTAGAATGGTTAGGCATGCTGAAATTCATGCTTTAGGGAAAGTAAACACTATGGAAAAGATATAATGATAAATCTTACCTAGTTCACAACTTTATCACAACTTCTTCTTTAATCACATTCCCAAGCTACATTGTACTATAGTGACTATAGTGGGAGCATTTTTTTTTTTAACCAAATATCTGAATATAAAACTGTTTTCTTGTGTAGCAGCTCAAGGCGGGAGGTAGCTGGTGAGGTTCGGCCTGTTGGGCATGGAGGCAAAGCTGTGTGGAATGGGAACAGGCCTCTCTCTAAAGCCTTTAAAAGATTCATGATCTACCCAGCTAAGTGATAGAACTAGGCTTGATGCTTTACATTTAGATACTTTCCTCTCTGTTTAATCAAACCCTTCTTTTCTCAATTAGTAGATCAAAACAACAGACTTTGGTGAGAAATAACACTGTAAATACTGAGATGGTAACATTTTTTGTCCTTCCACTTAGACCCAAAAACATGGACTGTTTCAGTTACTGAGGTTAACTCCACCTCTGTGATTTCGCCATCTTATTACTACTGTCCCTTTCCTCTATAGCCTGTAATCCTACCCTTCCACCAAATTGAGCTCAAAGCTCACTTCCACCAAGACATCCTCCCTGACTAACTTTACCCATAATGTCATATTCCTGATGGTAGTTCTCCCACAACTCTCTTCTTCCCCAGCTGTCTTAGCCTGTTCAGGCTGCTATAACAAAATGCCACAGATTAGGTGGCCTATAAACAATAGAAATTTATCTAACAGTTCTGAAGGCTGGACAACACCCTCTTGATGTGTCATCACATGGTGAAAAGGGCAAGGGATCTCTCTGGGGTCCCTTTTGGAAGGGCACTAATACCATTCATGAGGGCTCCACCTTCATTACCTAATCACCCCCCAAGGCCCCCACCTCCTAACATCATTATGAATTTGCAAGGACATAAACATTCAGTTCATTACACCAACTTAATTAAAAACTCCCCCCAAACAGGGAATTTGTTTTCTTTGTTTTTTGTTAACCCTTAATGTAATACTTTGCATGAATATAACACATGAACATGTCACTTAAAGTCTGTAATATTTGTTTTCTCCATCTCTAAGTAGGCTATAAAAATACTCTATCTTCATGCAAGCTCTGTGAGCATAATCATAATAATAGCAATTATAATTTACTGAGCTCTTATTTGAGTATGCTCTGTGATTGCATATATTAGCCTTATGTAAACTAAACAAGAATTAAAACCAAGCTCCAATTATCTCCAAAGTGCATTCTCTTAACTATTAGTATGTCAAGTAAGATATAAGAAAATATTCAGTGATATTGCATTGTTATTGCTAGTTGAGATATTGGCAGATATCTTCTGCCTGTAAATTGAACTAAAAAATAGACTCAATAAATAGCCACAGCTCTTTTCTTTGTCCCTAGAGAATCTTGAACTAGATAGATGATTACAAAAGTATCACCAGTGTAAAGTCAAGAAAGAATTTCCAATGAATTATAATTTTCATATGACACGTTTTAAATTTGGATTCCTTCCTTTAGAAAACAATCTTACCAGAATTGTGTTAGTAATGGAACAGTTTCTGAAGCCTTTATTATTTGTCTTTTCTCAAATCTAAATTAATAAGACACATGCCAAATTAAAAATCCAGTCATAATCACAAGAAAAAGCACTTTTCATTTTAACTTGAGGATGGAAATTGTGTTTGAGTAGACTTCCAACACATCATCTTATGTGGTTATTAAATTATCTTCACATTCAATGATTTTTCTACTTTCCCTAAACTATAGATTTATTTCTCAGAGTTTTATGACCTTGAAGAGTTCTCATGTTAAATTGCAAAGTGCTCTTTTGGTGCCATCTTTGTTTCAAGCCAAGAAACATTAACTTTAATAACACAATTGCTAATTCATATGTAGTTATCAAGTCAGTGCATTTGTCACATATTTTTGAGGCAAGCCAAATATGATTTCATAGGGTAAGCTCAGAAGACTTGCCAATCGTATCCTTAGCATGGGGTTTATTGGATTTTTATTACTAGAGTTGATAAGACGGATCCAAGGGATGTAAGAGGAGAAGGTCAAAGTCAAGGAGACCCGCCCAAGTCTCTCACAGTTGTGTAGGACAGGGCCAATGCTTGCTGTGCCTGGACCGCACTCAGGTTCTCGGCTAGCTGCCGAGAAGCACTTACATTCACTTACATGGGAAACAGAGTTTTGGTGAAGACAATATATTGAATTTGGATTTGGGCATGTTGATTTTGGAGCTCCTTTGAGATATCTACACGAAAATGTCTGGCAAGTCAGTGATTATGGAGGCAGAAACTTAGGATCAAAATCTTGCTAC